TATATTTTGCCTGTTTCCCGTGTTGTTTGTATCACTTGTCCCATGCAAACCCTTCAGTCAAGCTTTATGAACTATAATCATACTACATCATCACAAGCCAGTGGCTTATTTTCTCACCCAGGTTTCAATACCACTGATTTCCTTTACATTGATTTCCTTTTATGTCATTTCATGCCTGACAGAAAAAAATGTTTGTTTATACTGCCTGTATGTATAAATAATTATTTTTACTATGAAATCCTCTTTTTTATAAAAATGTAGGGACACTCTGCAGAGATTATTGCATTATCGTTTAACACCACAGGAGACAGAATCATCACAGGTTCTTTTGACCATACAGTTGCAGTATGGGATGTTAGCACGGGCAGGTACTATTTTGTATTGTTTTATGTTGTGCTTTACAGAAATCTTATTTTGTACAGGCTAGGAATATACAGTACATAATATGGCTTGTATATATTTTTGCTTAATGCATTGTGCAGTAGGGTCAATGAATAAGCCATGTTTTAAGACAGATTTCTACATTTTGAAATTACTGTTTGCAGTTGGCTTTCTGGCTACATTGTGGCATAACATGATGTAAAAACAGTGATACGTGATTTGATTAGGTTTCCTGTTTTCCCAGTGCATACAGGTGCATGACAAGAACAATTGAAAAGGGAAAGAAAACAAACCAGAGATTGGCCAAATAATCTAGGATTACTTGGTAATCTTCAAGGTGGACTTTGGCTTCTTCCAGCTAGTTCACCAAGCATAAATTGATGTGCCTATGCATCCATAGACTCCAAAATCTTTCATATCTATATTATAACACTGCATTGCTTTGCTTAAAATGCAGAAAAACTGTAAGCAAACAAAACTTTTTGAAACCAGAAAGACGAAAACTAGGTGTATTATTTCACTGTGAGACTCCCTAGCAACAAATCAACCAGTTAATATGTTGGTATGTTATATACAGTTTGACCTCCTAGTCAGATTTTGGAGAACATATGCAACTTTAGTTATCTGATTTCTTTAAAATATTTATATTCTTTCATATTCTACACTTGAAGTAGCTTTTGGAAAGTGGGTATACAATAATTATAATAGATGAATGTCTTTATAAGTCCATCAGCTCAATCCTGTTAGTGCTAGCTAAAATCTCAGAAGAATTCTTCTTCAGCCTTTGTAGAAAATGACAATATACATATAGCATCATGCAGTTAACATGTCTCAGTTGTACTTGGTCAGCCTCATAAGTAATACATTGTCCAAACTCAGAATATTGCTCTCCAACACTTCCCCTTCTCCATGACTAGTTGGTAAAGTGTGCTGTATCAAAATCTGGACTACAAAAATCTGGCCACAACTAGATTGCAGTAAAGAGATACAGAAAATTCAAACACTTTGCTGCCATCTGGGAGTTGCTTGGACATTTGTAGTTTAGATCTGGTTATCCTAACACTTGGCTGCCTGCATATCTTTCTGTTTTTGGAAAACTGCTTCCTCGCAGGATCAGGCTTTTGAATGTGTGCCCCTGGCACAGGCTTGCATTACCTTCCTGGACATGGGGTTTAAAAGAATACCTGCTATAGGGTTTTTGGTTGTTGATTTTGTGTGCGTGTGCGCCTTTGAGTCAGTGTTGAATCCTGATTACTGCCTGGAGAAGTCCCTGCAGTTTTCTTGGCAAAGTTTTTCAGAAATGGTTTGCCATTGCCTCCTTCCTAGGGCTGAGAGAGAGTAACTGGCCCAAGGTCACCCAGCTGGCTTCATGCCTAAGATGGTACTAGAACTCACGGTCTCCTGGTTTCTAGACTAGATACAGACTTAACACAAGCCAGCTCAGGCCATTTCCCCACTAGGGACATAGAGTGTCTTCATAGCATCACCTAACCAAGTTGAAGTGATACAGTCCTGTTTTCGTTTTGCCACAGTAACAGTAACAATCATTAGATGACTGCTATAAGTTCCTAATGGAGAAATGACAGTCTCCTTGATTTATATATTTACCATGTGACCTTGTACATTTTAAAAGTAATTCTCCATGCTATTATAACTTAAAATGCTGGTATGCATTTAGAAAATAAATACAATGCAAACCACTCATTAGGCTTTTCTACCTAAGCTTCTGGAGAGAGAAATTGCAGTCAACCATATTTTAATACCAAGGTTGCATTCTTGTGCATATTTATTTGGGAAGAACTCTTGCTGAATTGTGATACTTATCAAATAAACATATTAAGGACAGCACTATCCATAGCATTTCTCTAACTTTTCCCCCAAGAATGTCTGTGTATAATATGTTTATATAACTGTTCAAACAACCATCTAACTTGAAATTTATTCTCTCATCAGGAGAATGCATACTTTAATAGGCCATCGTGCGGAAATAAGCAGTGCACAATTCAACTGGGATTGTACTCTGGTAATCACTGGATCTATGGACAAAACATGCATGGTAAAATAGTGTAATGTCAGTTATGATAGAGTTCTTTATAGAAAGGCATTCTTTATTTCCCCCAAATATTTGATCCAGCAAAAAGATCCAATTAGTCATGTCTTCTTTGGAGCTATCTGACCCTTTTCAGAATCTGTTCCTAGTTTCTCTTCAGGGATTCTGAAATGTAGATCCAACCAATAGAATATTGCTTGCTATATATAATTTTATAAGAATCATAGTTTAGGACTAACATATAAGCTGGTAGACACTAATAGAGGCAGTCAGAGATATGAGGCAAGTGTTCTAGAACTTTGGAGAACAGTATGTTTCAGCCATAGCCTCAATTATAATTGTATATTCGTAGAAATTAACAATACATGCATGGCCATCTTGAATATATAGTATTGGCAGACTAGACAGACACCTTTTTATTGAGCCATTTAATAACATATTTGTCACACTTTTAGATCATTCAAAGGCTAAATTCTAGAAATACCACCTCAAGTGATTTCTGGAACACATGTCAACTGTCAACACCAACAACAATAATACACTACATACCAACCT